GAAGAAAATTCCTTGCTGAGTGTAGGAGTCTTGGGGTGCTGCAGGACCTACCTGTACATCTTAACGTGCCAAACTCCTTGCAAAAAGGACTTCATTCCTGGCAGCCCGTGTAACCAAGGTCTACCACAGAATCCAGCTGAGCAAAAGTACATAGAGTACTAATGTGGTAGCTGATCAAAGCTGGACTAAAGCTCAAAAAAAAAGAGGAATATGTTATACACATACACAGAACCTTTATGTCCTCTGACTGCAGTCCTGTTTTTCTTCTCCCTTCATGTCTAGGGAGTTCTGTTCAATATTCTTAATGAGAAAAAAAAAAMCAAAAAACGGCTGCAGAACAAACTTCAAATGATTCTGCCCGTGGCCTTAATGGGGGAAATTCATTGAGGGTGGTTGACAGCTATACTAGTTCTCTTTACAGAATGTCAGCTTTTGGTTAAAATTGTTACACTGCTGTCTCTCAAAGGCTGTGCTGATAATGTGAATTTCCGAATCTGAGCAAATGTGATATGGAATGGTGTTTTTTTTCATCTGCAGTCCAACAGACTGAAATATTATCGGTGAGCAGCATGACTTCCTCTTATCTCGAAGGCAGCCTAGAGTTCACCATCATCAGTTAATTCATTATAAAGGCATTACACGCTATTAGTCAGGGGACAAATAATAGCTAAGGCTATAGCTAAAGCTATATAGAAATCTTTAGATCTTGTACAGATGCCAAAAAAAAAAGCAGGCTTCACTTAAGATAGTAAATGAAATTAAGAAGTGTAACAAAAAATAAGGAAAAAAACATCCAAAGCTTGCCACATAAAGTTCCCTGCCTCAGTTAGCTGCTAACTTTTAATCATTTGAGTTCAAGCCAGAGTCGTCTAAGAAGCTCAAGATCCTTTTTCTGCTCTCTCTTCTCCCCTCAGTCATGGGGATTTTTTTCCTTTGCTCTTCCTCTTTCTTCCTCATGCAGACCTGMAGTTAATCTGTGTCTAAACCAGGCTTTCTCAGTGACTCTTCTCTCAGCAAGCCTCTGATGCCTCTGGGTCCTTTTCAGGACCTTCTCATCTCCAAGTTTGATAATTGCAGAACTAGGATGCTTAGTATTAAAGGTTATCCTTTAGATTTTGCCCATAAGAAAACTTTACTATTCCAGTCAGATAAATAGTGCTGGATTGCTTTCCCAAGGCTTTATATTCCAATGTCTTAAGGGACTCTGCTGGACTAGGAGACAGGAAGGTTTAATGAYGTCTCTTGCCTCATAAGACTGACAACTCTACGTACACAGGGGCATTCAGAAAGCCACAAAATCCATATCTTGCCTATCATAACGTTCTCAGAACTGTTGGCCCTGCTGTGATGATAAGTCTCTGCCTGAAGAAATTGCTCAGGTTTATATTTGGGTTTTGGTTTGTAGGCAATAAAAGTTTGCAGATCGTTTTTATTTCTTTCGTACGACYTTATTAGCAAAGAAAGTTGGAAGTAAAAGTCTTGACATAGGTTTAAAAAAAAACTAAAATTGAGACTACCAACACCCAAAAATAGAGCAATAACCCCAAATGAAGAATAAAAAATAATAGCTTTATTGTTATTTATTGCAGCATTCAAAAGTATATGACTTGCTTCAGAGCACAGCACTGTTCTTCATGCTCTTCCCTGGGAGATCTTTCAGCCCAAAGTCACACAGACCTCATTACCTGTTATATTATTTTATTTTGATTTAGATTAGATAACGATTGCCCAGACGTCAGCTCCGAGAACATTGACAGTCACTTAAAACTATAAAACTCAAGTGCAATGCTATCATTTTAATCTTCTATCAAGCGGCATGCAGTCAATCAAATACCAATATTCCCATATGCTACTCCACTTGCTTCTTCAAAGAGCAAGTGAAACCCGCAGTCCTCACTTTGCCTAAAAACTGAGGAGAAGCAAATGAGGATACCCTTCCTTACTAGGCAGTAGCTCCCAAGAAGCATTATGCCATATCTCTATGTTCTCTGAAGTTCAAGTCTCTTCATTTGTCAAATCTGCTAATAATTGAATATTTAATTCAAATAATACGTTGTCACCAGCCTTGCCAACCTCAAACATGCACAGATTATGAGGTGTTTCAAAAATAAAGTCAAAAAATATTTGACTTCCGAGTCTGAAGGTCAAACTGGGTTCACTGTTAGGTGTAATACCTCTATTTAAAATGGTTTCTGTAACTGTCATATTATCATTTGCATCACGGAGTTGGGGTCTTATAGAAGTATCAAGTACATCAAGATATATGAGAATAATCAACCAGTATTAGTGACAAAGCAGTACGTGTCCAGCTGTAGGAATTCTGATCATTTCATAAAATACCTTGGACTTAGCATTTTCCAACAAGAATGCAGGGCAGTGCACTGTGAGCACTTACGTGTTTCAGATCAAAGGGCTAGCTGGCTTTGTGATTCTACTTCTGTGATTCTACTACTGCCCTTTACATACCAGCACCAATGCATACCAGCGAGAAGGGACAGGGGGGTTAAAGAGCATTTGATGCTAAGGCTGCATAAACACTGAGCTGTTCCTTTTAGCTACTAGAAGCTTCAGTCTAAAGCAGTCAGGTGGCATTTTCTTCAGTTCTTGTCTCAAACTGTATTCTTTTTTATAAAGGCTCAATATAAACAGTTCAGCTGTCTTCATGAATAAAGGTACAACTAGTCAAAAGTACAAAGTTGCATCTTTTTTGTTACTTTTGAATTCCAGCAAATCAACAGATATGACCAACTGATTTCTGTTCATAGAATAACTTTAGAGATGTCTTTTTTTTTCCCCCCCAACAGTTTGGAATTTTGATGAATGTTGTTCTGAGATTACTTCATTTTCTTGTTATCTTTAAGAATTGATACTTTATCTACTTTATCAATTTATTTATTTATGGCAGTTATTTGAGAAGGTGGCAGAATCTCATACCAAGAGTAAGAGATAAGTAACATTTCTAGTAACATCTCTGTCATACTGGATATTCCCCAAGCAAGGAGCTAGGAGTGCTAGTGAGGTTTCTGCCTAGGTTTGCATTGTAATCCTAGATCTGATGATAACACAGGTTCATTGTTGTATAAGGAAGGCTGCTGCTTTTATCTGAGAACATCTACGCAGTGCAGTCGTGCTGTCTAATAAGATGACTTCAATATAAGCACATCCAAACAAATTTTAGTCCTGCCAGTTTTGGTATCAGCAGTTGAGAAACACTACAATAAATCTCTAAGTGCAGACTAGCTGCATGGCCAAGTATTCAAGATGTGTTGAGTTCACTTACACGGTCCATGCTAGTGTCCATGCGGTCACAATTTTAGTTTTTTTCATCTCAAGCTGGTTGCCTATAAAAAGAATATTCCAGTTGCTCAATTTCATTGTAGGCCTGATCGTAGCACGGATCTGTTCTACAACCATGATTTTCAGTCTTTTCAAAACTGTGATTTCATATTTAATAATTATTTATTTGAGGATACTGGTTCACAGCCAGACTTCAGAATCTGTCCTGAGACATTTTTCAAGCTCTGATTTTACCATTTGATGATGGTAAAAAGAATAAATTAGAGAAATGTAGGGGAGGAAAGTCTGCAAGCAAATATATTCAAAATGTGTGAATTATAAACAGATTGCCTATTTATATAGATAATGGTTTGTGTGTACACCTGTGTGAAGAGGCAACAATGAAAATCTGAAATGAGCTGGTTTTGTATCTTTTTTTTTTTGTAAACTCAAGGGACTGCACACCATTCATGTAAATAAGAAACAATAGAAGAAAACAAGCAAGGAACAGGTCTTTATAGCAGGGAAGTAATTTGAGTCAGAGGATGAGAAATGTACTTGCTAAGGAGAACTGCTAAACAATAACTGCGTGATTTCTGTGTTTCCTAAACCACTCAAGCTGGGGTTTGTTTGATAAAGCCAAAGCAACTCTGTGTGGAGAAACTATTAAAYAGCAAACCTTTTCAGTGCATGCAGGTGGAAACTTGGGTAGAAAACATTCACTTACCATCTTCCCTGTAGTGGAATCACTTGCTAATTCCAACACCGGAGAACTCTCATGGTCTGCTTTGCTGCATTTCCACTTCATTTTAATTAAACATTTTGAACAGTAGATTAATATGTGTTTTTGCCATCTTCCAAGCATTTGTATTGAATATACAGAGAGCCTTATTAGAATCATATGACAAATTTTGCTCTCAAAATGTGGTGGCAATAACGTATTTGGGATTGATGGTCGGACTTCCTGCAGTTAACATCTTTTTGGTTATAGACCTTTATATCAGGTTACTCAATCTTTTTTTATCCTTTATACTTAATTCATTTTTATAGTCCTTTGAACAAAGAAGACACCTTTTGAAACTATGAAAATGAAATGTTTTGTATTTCTAGAATACAACCTTTCATTTAAAGGTGCTAAACTGAACAGTTTAATTTTTTTTTCAAAGTTCCCATTCTGCATTTTTCAGCCAAAATACTTTGTAAATTTGACCCAGTTAGGTATTAAATGTTTTTATCCTTCTGAACCTTTGCTTTCTCAGCAAGTTTATAATACTGGGTTGCTGAATAAAGACCATCTGCTCTTCACATGGGAATCATCTCGGGCTACTGTTTGGCACGAAGTGGTAACCAAAACACTGTAGTTTGGCTGTGGAGAAAATGGGGAAGAGGAAGGTTACTATTTCTTGCCTGTGTTTCTAAAATACATTTAACTATATATCAATTGTCCTTGAATTAAATCATTCTCTTCTTGACTGTTGTCCCAGACCAGAGCTTGGCAAGCAGCTCAGAGCAGAACAAAAGAAACATAAATGTATCTGCTAGTGTGTTTTTGGAATTAATGAGACCTGAAGCTTGTGCAACTTGAGCATTTGACCAAACTTCAGTATATTCTTCACAAAATTTGGTTGCATTCAAACGCATCCCTGCAACACAAGGCTGATGCAGAAGAGAGACACCGCTTGAATTATATTCTAAGCAGCGTGTTTTTCTTTCCACTCTTGCAGATGGGAAGCCAGTGTCACTCTCCCCGCTTGAATCCCAGGCGCACAGTCCCCGGTACGCGGCGTCGAGCCAGCGGGAGCGCGAGAGCTTGGAAGTGCGGATGCGCGAGGTGGAGGAGGAGAACCGGGCGCTGCGCAAGCAGCTCAGCCTGGTGCAGAGCCGCGGCCCCTCGCACCACCACGGCAACCACTCCAAAACCTACTCCATGGAAGAGGGGACAGGGGACAGCGAGAGCCTGCGCGCTGGCATCGTGGCAGGGAACAGCTCCGAGTGCGGGCAGCAACCGGCGGTGGAGAAGTGTGAGGTAAAGAAAGAATAAAAAACAATCTGCCCGAAACAAAGCGTGACAGGTTTGGTCCTTTGAAAGCATTGCAGGTCCCTGTCTCCCACCCCGTTAAAAGCTTCTGCTGTGCCCATAGACTCTTAAGGACTGAAGGCCACTACTTTTTAGTATTTTTTAATTATTCTTCTTCCCTTTTTTTTTTTTTTTKTTTAGAAATACTTTATATTGTCTTGAATGTCTTTTTCAWTGATGAAAAGGTGTTTGTTTAAAAAAAAATCATTTTCATGTGGCTGAACCTGGTAAAAAACTCCAAGCCTTATTCTAAGGTGACTTCAGTGTAGCTGTGAGCTCATAGACCTGAGGCAAAGCAGCCTTATGGGTTTCTCAATGAAATGAAAATGACACAGTGCTTACAATAATCTTACTGTCTTGCTTGTGCACCTCTGCACATAAGCTGATGTTGCTGGATGTTGTCCAGCTATTTGGTAGTCAGGCATTTGAGTAATAACRGTTATTCCAAAAATGTATAGGCTTGAAACAGAAAGGGTTACTTAAAAGCCTTGTGTCCATCCTCTTTGCTGAAGATATGAAAAATAACTCCAGTTTATTTTTGCAAAGAGGTTAATACCATATTACCTTTTATCTTTCGTTGTGCCACTAGGAAGATAAAAGTTGAAAGGAAGGGAGTGTGAAAGAAGAAAAAGTTCTAATTATCTTTTCAGATATAGTCTATTTAATGAGAAATAAAAAATATTGCATAAAAATGAATTGTAGTTCTCCAGTTGTGGATATTTTTGTCTGATACCGTAGGAAAAAAGTGCCAATGTTACTTTAAGGTAGTAAAGGAAAGGGAGGAGTTTGTTTTTCACTTTCCCTCCCCCTGAAAAGGAGAGTCTGTTTTTTCTGCCTGTGAAGATTTATTTTATCATTACATTTAATAAGGTTCAGGCCATCAGTAAACAAATCTCACTTCCCTCTTATTATCATGCCAAGCAGTGATGAGCTGAATCTCAGTTCTGGAATGTTCAATATACCAACCAATTTGGGGCACAAAAATAGCAACTTAGAGGAGGAACAGTTTAAGTGGCCTTTCAGATTATAATGTCTTTTTTGTCTAAAAAAATGTGCTTGCTCAGTGAGGTTTAGCATTGTGCTAGAGGCAATGGTTATATAAACATGTAACCTCACTTCATTTGCTATTCCTCTGTCTTACTGCACACTGTTTTGATAATGAAATAGCTTTTTCTTCCTTTTTCTTAAGGAATTCACTCAGTAATTTAGTTATAGAAATGGAAGCTAAAATTAAATTTCCTTATTATCAGATTTGCCAGGGGTCTCATCATTTATCCTGTTACTGTAAATGCTGATTGTGTGTTTGCGTGAGAGTACTATGTTGACTCAACTCCCCTGTTTTCAGTGCTTCAGTGGAGTAAACTAAATCTTTTTAGGCTTTTAACCCTGGAATATCTTATAGCAAGAGTCCAGGCCCTAGGTAGGAAGACACAAAGTCTTGAGAATAAGACTGGGGCTCCGAGGGAGATGAAAAGTCTAGATCATTTATTTCAGTGAGGCAGTTCTTCGAGTTTACCGAAATTAACATTTCACGTCTGATTTGGGATAGTCGTTAATGGTGATAAAACATTTGAAAACTCGGTTACAATGAATGAACATTAAATCTCTGATAAAGCATAATCTGTGTGATAATATTTATGATCTATATCAAAAATACTTAGGGGATCCATTGTATTCCAGCTACTACTTCCTACTCTGTGGCATTGCAAGAGAGTTATTCTGATACTATAGTATGGACTAGCATAATTTTGCTAGAATTTAGAAAAAAAAATGTAGAGTTCCAGTCGAGGACCTTCTCAAAGGTCCCTGTGTCCTGCCTTGCCAGCAGGGGACAGTTTTAACACAAGCTGTGGAAAAAAAGCTAACAGAACTGTGTGTTCTTTCTTATGATGCCTCTATCTTTCTGGCTTGTGCCTCCACAAAGTAGGCATTTCCTTTGAATTAAGGATGCATTTATAAATATTCTTAAAAGAGTTAATGTATGAGAAAATAGTTAATTAGCAGTATACCATCTAGTAGGTTAGCAGGATATTTATAACCATTTTCAACAGTTCTTCCAGGCTAATTTGTGTTGTTATTATTCTCAACAGTGTTTCTTAATAGTTTTTAGTGTGTGGTGCTTCAAAGCCACGAAAACAGGGCCCTACAAACTTAAGCCCCTTGTAAACTCAAAGAAAGCAGATGACATCTGCCTTAGGGAACCATTTGTAGCATATTTATATGCTTGTAACATGCTTTAATATCTCTTAATCATATTCCAAAAATATTTATGAAGTAATTGCCTGCTTAATCCTACTGCAAAACTGCTGAAGTATAAAACACTTTACCAACCATTTTTTTTGGCTATAGAAGCCAATTAGGGTTTGTTAAGCTTAGTATTTCACCCTTCCAAAAAGTTGCCTGTGGAGACAAAAGATAGCATCTGTTTTATCTAAGCACTTTTATACTCCTCATCATCATGGGATCTGAAGACTAGTTCCTCATGTATTTTTGATACCTTTCTTCCATTAAAACCACTCCAGAATAGGCTTAGAAGAAATTTGGCTTTCAGAAACAGAGTTTTCTGGTCTGTAGTGCTAAAGTAATAATTCCTAACCCTTGCTAAAATGGACCTGAGTATTATTTAATGCATTATTTAATCTCATTTTCCTGAAGAATATTAGTTTCTTTAAATAGCTTTCTGTACCTGAGCTTGAATGCCCTCTAAACTATTTTAAACCAAAAATAGTTATCGTTGTGTCCCTGATCCCCAACTTACCTAAGGAACAGTCTGATTAATTTCTGCAATAAGAAAGTGAATGGGAGACGAGGGAATTAAGAAACCAGAGATAGAACACTGGGCTGCTAGGCACTAAGTTCTGAAAGCAAGATGTAGCAGCACTGGATCTTCTGCCCCAGTGAGTTCCAGTGCCTATGTGCAAATCCTACAGGATGCAAGGCCTGTGTCCAGACTTCTTGCATCATCTGTTGATGATGAACATGTTTATGGTTGAAGTTAAAAAAGCCTTGTGGGAGAATGGTAATGAAAGAGCGATGGTTGCTTTCAAGGAGCTCAGTTGATGCTCRTGGTAACTTCTGAATACCCAAGCCAGAGTTTTTTAACGTGAATTATCACTGGTTCTAAGCAGTGAGGAGCTGGTGTAGCATGCAGAGCTTTGGTGTGAGATGTTTGGAGACACAAGTTGGACTAAGCAGGTTGACAGCTGYATTTTGTGGAAAGTGGAACATCTGGGAGCTTTGTGGCTTTACTCACAGATATTAGTGGCAGTTAACTGAGTCCAAAGGTTGTGAATGCTTGAGTCAAAGTGGTCAGTTCTGATGGGATTAGGACACAGTCTTTTAAGCAGCTGCTGAAGGAAAGTGGGGAATATCAGAGGGCTTTGAGGTTGCTGACGCATTTTGTAATCTGAAAGCAGATGCTTCTAGTGGCATCCTCGGGAGGATGCAAGTTCTTTGAAGTGCTTGCTTCTTCCAGCCAGCATTGCCATGTCTTGCCAGCATTTGGCTACAGCCAGCCGCTCTCCATTCGAACATGGAATTGGGACTAATRTGAAGAAAACTGGAGATAATTCTGTTTTAATAGAAGTGCAAAAGTCTGCAGTTTGAGCTGTTGACCTCATGTTGCCTCATCAGTTTTCCCATTGATTTTCCTCAGTGGATGAACAATGAGAAGGAGAAAAAATGAACCAGAAAAAAAGGTGAATAGATGAAATCTTGCAGCATGCTGCAGGGAAAAGCTTTGGAAAAMTAGGACCAAGTTTCCCTTCTCTTGGAGGATCATTGTTCCTTCCTAAAGYTGATGATAGGCAGGAACAGAAGTGATAAATAGTGTCAAATGCCATGGAGAGGCCAAGCAGAAAGTACCTGGATTCCCCCGTCTCCGAGCTGGAAGACGTTCAGCAGAGCAGCGAGTGAGTGCTGTGTTCACACTGTGCCCTGGCTGAAAGAAATGGTACCTGCTGGAAGACACCAGGAAAAACACACTATCAATTCTGAAACAAATTGATAGGGGAAAACAGATGTGGGCAAGTGTCTGACAGAATGAACTTTCTGGTTTTGGTGGGGTGGGAGGGAAGGCTGTAAGGAACACTGTTCTGGTAAGTATATATAGAACAAAATGATGTTGATAATACTATGACAGTGATATTCTGTCAAAACCTGTAAGATATTTATAGCTGGTCCATAGTCTCCATACGAAGCATTTAAAGTGGAATGAAACCACTGTCATCTAATTTGGTAGTTGACATCAAAGTGAAGGTTCTTAGGTTTTCCAAGGGCAGAGCATGTGGGGTCAGCATGTGCCCATAGCACGACTACCCAAAGGTATGGTAAAAACTACTGCTGTAATTGAATCGTGCAGTGCACAAGACAGTGTTTATGGAAGGGATGATGGACTCCTCAGGCATCCCCACCACGTGCTGCCTTCCGTATAAACCCGCTCCTCTTCCAAGCCAGGCTTTGGGAGCCTGTGACTTTGTGAGGAGGCAGAATTCCCTATTTGCTGTCCCCTTGGGGSCTCTCTGCAGAAAAGGAGAGCTACATGTGAGAAGCCAGCTAGCCAAGCTTCGAATGGGAGCCAAGTGAGGCTTCCGTGCAGTTTCACAGCTGCGTCCTTGATCACAGCTTTGTGCTGCCAGCGCGCTGAACTCTCCCTCGCTTCTATGACCGCTAAGAAACAGAGAAGTATGGAAGCTGACATCTAAATCTGCTGAGATTAATTTTCTTTTCTCCCCAGGGAATCACAGTGGCTAATTCTAAAACCAGAGAAAAGTAACTTAACATAATTTTTCAAATTGTTACTCACAACCTGAAAAGTAATGACAAGTGGCACCTTTCATTTTTCACTTCCGCTTGAACACATGAGTAAATCTCCACCTCAGATTAAAACAGAGAAGGCACAGAATAAGGGAAAATTGCGGGAGAAAATTGAATTTAACTTCCCATTAACATGGCCTGATACAGCCCATGCTACTAGTCAGGGGCAAGGAAAAGATGACCTGGCTTCTTAGGTACTGTCCTGTCTTATTACCAAGTACTGTCCTGTGTTATTGCATCTAACCCTAGGCGGAACAGTTGTCTGACTCGTGCCCTTCTCCATCAGAGCTTTCTCACCCTCTCCTTAATAGCACTCTCTCCTCTTAGCTCTCCCTAAGACTGAAATCACGCAAAATTTCTATGAGTATATCTGTTCATAATTAACAAAAATATTTTTAAACCTTGGTTCAGAAGGTTAAACTGTGTTTTCGTGTTTGCATATTCAGGATTTTTTGTGCCGTTAATGGGTGTGTGTTTGTGTATAGGCATGCACACACACATATGCTCTTAGCTAATAAATGCAATTCTGTTCAGACATCTGATGTAATTTAGGGCCAGTAATGACTTCGAAATGATGATGGTGTTATAACTCAATTAAGATGTTTTTAACAAACTGCCTCAAGTGGGCTGCAAACAGCTGCAAAATGCCCACTCAAATCTTCAACAATTGCCGCATTAAATAATAGCACTGTCATATATGTGTTCTCTTTAATGAATGATAAAACGCAGGAGCACACTTAAAATTTTGTTCTTTTGGTTCTGTTTCTCCCACAGACCATCCACGTTGCCATTGTCTGTGCAGGGTACAATGCCAGTCGGGATGTTGTCACACTTGTCAAGTCCGTCTTATTTCACAGGTAAAGGTAGCTTTCTTTTGTTATATGATGTATTTCTGATTATAGCTAAACAGCTCTTGCTACGTTTACCCTTTTGAAAAGAAAATCAGATTCTCTTTACCTGTGTGGGGGATTTTTTTTTTTTTTTTTTTGAAGGATAGAAGCGTGAAATTTATCACCCCTACAAATAGCTCCACCTGACTAAAGATTTCTGCTATAAACACTAAGGATCCAGTGCCCAACAGTTGCATTGTGGGAATAGGGGCTACCCCTACTTGAATTGTAAAGTATCTACCTGTTCATGAATCCTATAAAATAATATGAACAGTATCATACTCATTTAGACTAGTTCTGGTACCAATTTATTGCAGAGGTGTACGACTTGAAAGCMATACACATAAATATACACAGGTTACATGACTATCCCAGCTTCCCATTTAGACCTTTATTTTCCAAGGTAAACCTGTCCCTATAGTCACTATTTTCATAAAGTCAGATTACGTGTTCTGACTTTGACCACTTGGAGCCCCCCACAGGAGCTATCAAGCTGGTTTTAGCACATGGAGCACAGTCAGACCCCAAAGCCTAGATGCATGAATGTCTAATGAAGAGAAGATAGGCAATTCACAGAATTCTCTTAATAAACAGGAGTTCCAGTGAAGTGAAATATTGTTGGACTGTGTACAGGTACATCCTGTTCCTTGTCCCTTGTCCAGTTAGTAAAGTCACTCAGATTTTTTCCAACCGTCATGCAGAAAGTGGGTTAAAATGGGGAACAGAGAGACTAATCAGCTTTACTCAAACAGCACAAATATGCTATAAAATCAATTTAGAGCATGAAGAGTTTGCTAAGATGGTGGTTTCATTACACTACTGTCTATTGAATGATATTTTATAGCAGTGAGGATGAATCTTGTTCACGTCACATGCCGCTATCTTGTTACACATACCTATTCTGGGGCATAAATGTCCCCAGCCTTGCTCCTTATGTTTACCTATGAACCGCTGCCGGAACACTGTTAGCAGTCACTCTGTGCAGTAGTTTTTGTGCAACCTTGCACATTTTACCCATTTTTGATAAGCTCACCTTGTATGGTGTAGTGATTCAGTAAATACTATTTTAAGAGATTGGGCTAGGAGCAGGAAAAACAATGTGTAAATGATTAAACAAATAAACAAAAAATCCAACAGTATAGACTTACCATGTTCTATGTGCACTTTTTAACGATTAAAATCCTGCTAAATTTTAAAATGATGTCATTTTCCAATTAACCTCCGCATTATTCAACATAAACTGCCTTTATATTCCAGGGATGTGGGTTATTTTGCCTATTTTGATTGTTGTTTCTAGCTTTTTTTGTTCTTTTTTTTTTTTTCTTGACGAATGTGCATTTTTATGTCGATATGAGTTCTCCCAGCAATGAGCTTCTTTGTATTTTTTTCTCATAATACTTACCTCCATTTTGAAAAGACTCAAATGCTCAATGTGTTTCCTGATACTTTATAAATAATAGGAATATTGTAACCCAAAATATTAAGTAGTCTCTTTGTATTAAAGGAAATGTCTGTGTTTTGTCTATGGAATAAAGCTGAAAAATAAGCAATTTATAAACAATTTTGCCATAAATAATCTGGAAAAAATACTTAAAAGGATGAAAGCCATACAAAGCAAAGTAACCTGATGGAATCTGCCCTTGTCAAGAACATACTTGCTATTTGGCTAGCAATACTGCACCTCTCAAAGGATTTTCCTTGCTCGGCAGAAGTGATCAAGATAAAGTCCAATACAGCTAATGAAACTTTATTGTAGTCAGTTGCATTCAAGGTAACCTATCTAGCTTGTTTGCTCAAAACATAATTAAAGACAAATTTAAGTCAATTCTTGCCTAGAACTAGCTCTCCTCACTGGGCATTAAAAGATCTGCTAAAATGGGAAGATGTTCTCAGAAAAGAAATAGAGCTTCTTGCAGACATTTCTTACTTCTAGAAAATTCAGGCAATTCATTTGGCTTCTTAAGCATCTATTGATGCTATGGCTGTATGTGCAGAGGTCCATGTCTCAGGAATTCTTTCTCTCCCCCCCTTTTTTTTGGGGGGGGGGCAGGGGGGAGGATGGTTAATGGTGAAGAAGCCTGAATAATAAACCATGAACTTGCCATATTTCCTCAACTGAAAATTATATTTAAGTCTACATTCCTTGCATTGGTTGCCATGAAAACAGTATTGTCTTGGAGACTGGTATGCACTTAAAATAGGGTAATTGGAGAGAAATTTTATTTTAGTTGCTAGGTTCTGTTTGATTGTGGGAAAGAAGGGTGAAGGCAGGTCGTGATACTGCATCCTGAGGAATTAGTTAGGAGAGATGGAGGTGCTTGCTTCACATGGTGGCTACTTCTTGACATCAGTTGGAGGTTCACCTTCTGACTTGAGGGATGTCAGTGAAAACTGGCATGGAAACATCTCTCTTTCTAAATGCTAAMTGCAGGGAATATATGCTGTCTGGCACTGCAAGGAAAAACATTCTGCATGTCTGCAGTGGAACAGAAGCTGACTTGTTCCACCCTAAGCTCTAAGTCAAGGCTACCTAGTTGTCTGCTTGCAGAACCATCACACTCAATCTCAAGTGTATTTTGCACAAAGAGAACAGGCATGCTTCCACATATATTGTCAAAGAGAATATGTTTTTCCTTTTTAGAAGTTTCTGAATGATCAATGTTCAGGCAAACCTGTTGTAGCAGGAGCAGAGTTTGCCTGTAACAAGATGTGTAATTGAAAGAAACTTGTGTAGAAAACACAGTTGTGATTACTTGGCGGGACACAGTGCAGGTTTTCCTCAGGCAACAGTGCCATTACACCTCAGTCCTGCCCTACAACGTTATGAACATAATCTGCTAACTGAACAGCTGGCTCCCCAAAGCAAACACCCTTAATGCCCTTGTCTGCTCCTGCTGTTTTTCATTTGGTGTTCTTTGTAGAGCACTGCTTTCAATGAATCTGTCTGCAATTCACCACAATGTCACACAAGCTTTTATTAGCATTTCCTTCCAATTTAGCAAGTAAAGCATGTTTCAGATGACTATTTCTGTGTGTTTTGATACAAGCAAGTCTCTAGATTGCCTACTTCAATTTGTAGAAAAGTTCTGAGAAAAGGACATTCTATCAGTCTCATCATCCCCTCCAAATGCATTAACTTATTTGTTGTACCCCCAAATTTAAGGTAAGAGTTCAGGACAGAAAGACACAAAACGGTGGGATTGCTGGGTGTGAACTACAGGATTTTGTATTGATGGAGTGTGCTGCATTCTCTTGCATTATTGTACAGCACATACTGCATATTGAACATTTTATCTCTCTCCCGGTCTTCTTTGCCAGGTCTAAAACAGCAAGTTTCAGATTCTAGTCATACCATTAAGTATCGTGAGACCGAGGCAAGCTACTTGTCCAAGCAATCTGAGAAACTATGTCTGTCTTCAGGCTCCAGGGAGCAGAAGGAGGAAGAGGAAGGGAATGGTGTGGTGGATTTCTTATAAGAATACCGTAGTTCAAAAACACATTTCATTCCCGGTGGAACAGGAGCTTGATTTCAGTTTTGTCTTTAGAAAACGCATCTTCGAGCCACAATATCCCAGCAGCTTTTAACACCCAGTTTGACAGAACTGACAGTCTGTTCTCAGGGGGAGATTGAGCAGAGCTGGGATAGCGTGGAGTTTGCAGACTCTGATAAATATGCATTGGAACATCTGCTCAGAGGGAAGCTTTTAGAATGAGCCCTCGGTCCTTGCCTGCAACTTTTCTACTTTCCTGTCTTGGGCACCAGYGTCTGATTATGACAGGTTTTATAAATCTGTTTCAGGGATGAAAAAATTTCTCTCTGAGTCAGTATGATTCTCCCAAGCTCATATTGTGCTCTGGGCACAGCTGGAGTTTCATTTTCCCAAGGCAAAAAAAATGAACACCAGAAATTAAAAATTTGGGGTAATTTGGACAAGACTATATATATTCTTCCCCAAATTCTGCAATTCCCTCAATTCCTTTTCAGAATTAACAGTGTCCTGTGGCTTGATACTTTCATTGGAAAATCTGCAACTATAAGGCCAAGTTATTTTCAATGTTTTCTAAAAATTATAAAGCTTGGAGTGCCTCAGAAGAAGCTAAAGAAGCCCATAAGTTATAGCTTCATATTGTAAAGGTCATTCCTGTATTAATTTAGGTAACTCTTAACTTGAGTTAACCATGTTACACTATGTTACATTAGGGAAATTATTAAACATACTAAAAAACATGTTACATTAGGGAATGAAGAAGTGCTAAAAATGAACAATTATAAAATGAGAGGTCAATGTGAGAATCTGAAAAATTGACTTATCCTTCTTGCTATCTGCTATTGCCTTTCCAGTGTAAAGGCATCTGTATCCCAGCAGAAAAGTGTTTTTTGATTTTTTTTAGCCCACCCAGTTTGGGAAAGCTTTGTCAATTCTAGAGGTGTATACTGCCGCTATCCTAAAGCAAAAGTAGCATGGCAATGGTGCCAAAGGGGYTGTAGAATAAATGAAGTCAAAGTCAACTACACAAATGCTTTCTTTTATGAAGTTGCYTCTTGGCTTTAAGGTTCAGAAGCTAAAATCAAGCATATATCTTAAGTACTTTCAAGGTTAAGACTTCAAACAATATTACAAGGTTTTTTTTTTTTTCTTGGAAGGAGTGGAATAAGATACAAAACAAAAGAAAATATAAATTAAATAAAAAGGGTGACATGGAGATTTCAAGTAGGAGTCACAAGTCAACTCTGGCTGGTAATTAAAGCTTATGTAATCTAATAGCTGTATTCCATGGAGACCACTTTGCTTTAATGGAAATAATTTGAGATTTTAAAACCTTTGTCATTATTTCCATCCCTTTTAATGTGTTAGTCTGTTTTTGGGAAGATTGTTCTGGCAAAAGCTGTAATGTATGATCCAGTTTCTCACTACTATATGTGCATTAATAATGCATCCTTCTTTATTTCTACATATYCTAAAATG